AAACCTATGGCCCGTAGCCTACACTAGCCCGCAGAAGCAGCAAAATCACTGTGGCGTCCCTCCCTGTAGGTCCCCCGCGCCGGGGCGGACCTCTTGAAGGGTTCTGGAGGACAGATCATCTTCCTTGGCAAACCGGGAGAAGGAAGGCCTGATATTCTGGTCATCGCTGTGTTTGCAGTGCCCGCAAAGGAACCGTGATGGGGCGAGCCCTTGAAAAGAGAACGGTAGCACCTTCTGCTTCCTTCACTCACCAAGTTCTACAATACTCAAAGAGCCTCCAGAGAGACTGAGCCTAAACCCCAAAGTCCCAGTCCCCCCATCCTGCACGAAACCCCAAAGTCGCCCCTGCCCCCCCGCTTTTCTCTCTGGAACCCAGCGGCCGCTCCAGAAGTGGCAGAGCCGGCAAGGGTGGCCTTCAAGGCTCAGGGGGATAACAGGTTGTTTATATATGGCAGCAATGACAGCAGCAAGAGGGATAGCAGGGATTTGGCAGGGTGCTGATCACTTGTATCATGGCATACTACTGATGGTGTATACAAGACGGTACAAAGTCAACGATGGAACTAAGGTTGCAACCGCTAGCCGTCCTAAAGGCAGTGTGCTGTCGCCAGCATCCGAAGTGCCACTGCAAGAGCCGTAGAACATCAGCCCACATGCGAAAGCCCATTCTGGTTCGTCCGTGTGAGTGCGCATCGGTGTGCTTCCGGCGGAGTAATTTCGGTGCAGTGCTTGGGATTTGTATATTGTCATCGCAGCGCCCGGGCTTGCAGTGCGATGCATATAGGGATTTTTGAGCAGCCGCGATGGTTACATCTGGCCGATTGCCTTTGCGGAGAATCGCCATTTGCACGAGCATGCTCAGATGTTGCGTCTCGCAGCAAGCAGCAAGCATGCCTCTTGCGTAGCAAGGACTTTTTGCGGAACTCCCGATGCCTCCACGAAGAAACCCTTGAACCCATAAATCATAAATCCGAAACGCAAGCCTAAACCACTGAAATTCTAATAAATATATATATATATATATATATATGTATACCTAAAAATATGACTAGATGCAAATATACATATAGATATATATATATATATATATATCTATATCTATATGTATATATATATATATATATATATTTATTTATTTATTTATTGATTTATTTATATTTATATTTATATTCATTTATTTATGATGACATAAGTACACGCACACACGCGCACACACGCACAGAGACACATACTACCTGCGCCTCAAGCCCCAAACCCAGTAAACCACAAACCCCTAAACCCTTACCCACACCCCTACAAAACCCTACCTAAAGCCCTTTCCTGGCTCTTAGGCTCCCGGCTCAGGTGTTATAGAAACTAAGCCCGCGATGGTCCTGCGAGGCTCCAAAATCTTCGACGCGGGGAGGCTTTTGAGGGTTTTAGGGCTTTTGGGCTTTAGGGCTTTAGGGCTTTAGGGTTTTAGGGCTCTAGGGTTCTAGTGTTTAGGGTTTAGGGTTTTAGGGTTTAGGGCTTGGGGTTTGGGGTGTCGGATTTGGGGTTTAGGGTTTATGCAAGCAGTCATGGGACAATCCAGAAGCGAATCACCATGTGGATGAACTACCGTCTACGTGAACCTCGTGGGCACCTTCGGGCTATCCTGCGCTAGCTACTGGTGGACGCGCATTGCTGCTTGTGGCCTGAGGCTCACACAAAGAACATGGCTCAGAGTCACGAAAGAGGTTTAGGGCCTAGGGCTTAGGGTTCAGAGTTTGGGGGTGTAGGGTTTGGGGTTTAGGGGCCTCCCAGCTTTACAGCATGAGGGCTCAAGAGCGTTTAGGGTTTATCATGTAAGGTTACCCTAAACCTCAACCCTAGACCCTAAACCCTAAACCCTAGGTTTAGGGTTTCTTTGGAGAGTTTCGGGGCTCAGGTGCTTGTGGAATTTAAGGCTTTAGGGTTCAGGGCTGGCCGCAAGAGACGCCGAAACTTGCTACGGAGGCATGCTTAAAGGCTCATGATGGGAGTTCGTGATCAGGTCTATAAATAACATAGCTGTACCTATAACTACTTACGACCCCAATTAAATTAGGGTACGTATAACCTTACTTCCTCAGTCCCTCCAGGTGAGCCCTGTCCTCTGGGTTCTTGGATGCCTGGCAGGAGAATGATAGGTCCAAAAAAGTGAGAATTAGGGTTGGGGGTTTAGGGGTTGCTTTTTGGACCGTAAGCCCTAAATCCTCCATCCAAAGCCCTGGCACCCCCAGAAAAACTTTTCGGGATCACGGCCTGCTTTTCGCAAAAATGTCCACCCAGAAAAGCCGAGACAGCACAGCTCTTCCTGCCTGGCGAACAAGGAATCCCGACCTCGAGAGCTCCGGATTTCTTCAACTCGGGAGGTTATAAAAATTGAGGGGGGGGGGCCTCTGACGGTAGGGCCCCCCCACGTATCCTTAGATATCATAGACTCCACCAGCTAGGACCCCTAAAGAAGGACTGCACAAAATCGAGGCACAAGGCAACCCTAACTTTCCAGGCTGCTTCGCTGTGTATACAAAAAATATACAAGGCCGACGCACTGGGCCCCGAGCTTGCAGCCAGGGAGTCTTGCTTAGGTGCGCCAGTCATCCTGGTAAAAGCTTTTGAGCCAAGGACTTACTTAGGCTTCAGGGTTTAAGGTTCAGTGTTCAGGTTTACAGGGTTTAGGATTTAATCCCCCTAAACCGTTAGGGCGGTTTCGAAATTCCAAAGTCAACAGGCAAACCCAAAGGCGGCTTAAGAGAGCATCCCCACCCTCGGCTGTCCTACTCCACTCCCCTCCTCTGAACTCTGAACCCCTCATCATATGAACTCGCAGACGCCCAAGAACTAAAGCCCTAACCCGTGAACCCCACAAATCCTAAAACCGTAGAGAACCCTAAACACCAAATCCTCTGAACCTGTGCAACCCCGAAAACACTTCAACCCCTCAAACCCCGTAGACCCCTAAACCCCCTTACAGCCCTAAAAACCCCCATGGACCCTTTAAACTCCCTAAACCCCACAAACCCCTCATAACCCCTAACCCCTAAACCCCTAAACCCAAACCCTAAACCCAAACCCCTAAACCCTAAACCCTAAACCCTAAACCTTAGACCCTCAAACCCCATGAACCGAACCCCTGAGCCGCTGGCCCGACGACCGGCCTGTGCCCAACTTGAGGTGTTCAGGGTATGCTTTGTGTCAAGCTTTGGGGTTTTGGGCTTAGGGCTTAGGGCTTTAGGGTTTAGGGCTCAGGGCTTTAGAGTTGAGTTTCAGGGCTCAGGGAGTTTAGGCCTTTAGGTCCTATAGGAGTTTAGGCCGTTTAGGCCGTTTAGGGCTTTGGGGCTTCTTTTCAGGAGGGTTCAGGATGGTTTAGGGCGTTAGTTTTTTGGGGTGCAGCGCGAGGAGCTCCAGCTTCAAAGTGTAGGGTTTGGGGCTTTGATCCAGTGGCACAGCACAACGGAGCAGGGCTGCTCAGCAAAGATCGTTCGATCTTGATGTTGCAAAGCATGAACCAAGGCAGCCACACTAAGCATCCGGCCCGCGAGGAGACGCGGTCACCACTGGTGCAACCCTTCCCGCCTCGAGCTTCTCCAAGCCAGCTCGGCATCAACAAGAACCTGAGCAATCAAGCAGGCACACACCACAGTTTGTAGGTGCGCGTACGTGTGCGGTGTGTGCGTGTATATGTATATATTTAGGCATATACACATATATACTTATAAATATTTATTTCCCTAAGTGTTGACCGCGTGTTGCTAACATGATTCATGTACTGACTCAGAATGTCTCACATGCGAAAGGATGCAAACATCGGACAGCGTCTTCGTTTTCACTCCAAAGGGCAAAGGGGTGCAGAGAGTCGAAGGTTGATCACACCTTGCTGCTCGCCCTGCCACAAACGGCAAGGGCTAGGCAGAAAAGACAAGTCAGCACAAAACACAAAGGTGTGGGAGGGCGGGCCAAAATTTCATGGACCGAAGAGAAAGTCTCTACCTCCACTTCCCTCCCATCTCGGGCACGAAGGGCAACCGGATGGCAAGGGATCTCACTGTTCAAGTGTAATTCACCGACATGCCAAAGGCTTGAATGCAGCACACAAAATCGCAAGAGAAAACACGCTTGAATTTTGCCAAAAGGAAAATTCATCAACACTAGGAAAATAAGAGCTGCGTCCCTCCGGGACCGGTACTATAAACATATGTCTGTGTCTGCGCGCGATATGCCAACATATAAACGATATATACACACACGTATACCGCTACATACCTACACTATCGGAGGCAGCAGAATGCAATGTGCTGCAGGCGCCCGAAAAAGACCCTCAGGCCACGAAGTTGATGCCGGCACGGAACCTAACTAGTGTTAAAAGTTATGAATGAGATAGCTGTAACCCCAGCTTAAAACAGGTACTTATGACCTTACTTACAAAGTCCCCTGATCAACAGGGGCAATCCGGTGCCATGGTAGCCAAGGGAACGACAGGCCGGACAAAAAACATCTGGTAATGTAGAAACCTGAAGAGTTACCATACTATTCCTCGAGGTTCCTGATTATGACTACAGTATAATCTATCCCAAAGACCCATCCTCCATTTATTAAGGCCTGTATAGTATAGTAGACTCACGCTTTCCTGGAAAGGCGTGATGCCATCCGCCGGGTGCCCCGACCAGCAGCCACAAGCGAGATCGGCTGGAGCTGTTCGACCATGCCAAGCACGTCTAAAACCCACTAGGGCTTCGTCTAAAAACTTTATTGATTTGTTCCAAAAAACCATGTCTGGATGAGGTTGCATTTATTTCCCTAAACCCACAGTCTCTGATGTTGCAAGGTGGGCAACTGATCCTACTAACTCTGCCCTGAAATGAAGCGGCGGCAAGGTTGGAAATGCAATCCCTGCCAAATCCTTTATACTGGACTTTCCTTGGTGAAATTCGCAGGCCCGGGGATGGACTGCATTTAGGCATTTTAGGGATTGAAATATCTAACGAATGTAAAATGTAACATACAAGACAGGACGAAGAAGATTCAGCTCATGACATTCAGCATATGACTTGTCAAGCAAACTGACAAGGAGTCACTTGATCTAGAACTTCTGGCATGGGCGCATACAATAGGTACTGTGCGTCTTTTTATGTCTGCACATGTGTGTATACACACCCACATAATGTAAATACTGCATTTACCTACCTACTTGTTTATCTACTTGCATCTCTTTTCGTTCATGTACATCGCCAGGGGCTGTGTACCCGATCTTGCGCAACGCCAACACGAAACTTGGAACCTGAAGAAAAAAGCATATAATGATACTTGTTCTGATGGCAGAAAGTCACACTGACAATGGCAGTAATGATGCGACTGCTACTCCCACACCCGAAACCCTCCGAAACACATCAAACCCTAAGCCCTCAAACCCCTACACCCTACAACCTGCACCCCTGCGTCCGAAACCCGTAATCAGTCAAGCCGCGGTCCCCCTTTTACAACTCTTTTTGTCTCCTGGTTCGACGCATTTCAAGGTCCGATTCCGAGCTTTGACCGGGGACCCCTTGCAGCTTGAGCCGTACTCCATGCCGTCCGAGCTCACGCACTACCAGCCCGTCGAGCCGTGCCGGATTCCGGCTCCCCTGGGTGGTCTAGGGGGTTGAGGGCTTTTGGGGTTGATGGGGCTTTGGGTCCGCATTGCACTGTAGGGTTTAGAGGGCTTAGAGAGTGAAGCATTAGGGTTTAAGGCTTTTGGCACATAGCACCCAATCGTAGGGTCCGTTCAGATACGCTCAACATGCTCTAACTTAAGGAGTAGTTGCGATAGAACTACCAAAAGGGTCAGCACGACCACAATGTGACAACAGATGAAGAGAATCAGTGTCAATAATGACACACCCCAGCTAGACACGGACTGTTGACATGCACATACAAAGTAGCTGATTTTCTTCAAGCAGTCTGTTAGAGTTTGGGTTTTTCTGAAGGTTTCGAGCTTGGAGGTCTTGCGACTGAAGACTTTGGGGTTTAAGGCTGCTTGACTCTGGCCAGTGAGGTTTGAGTATTCCTGCCTACAAGGCAACAGTTTGGAACTTTTATGCTTTGGAGCTTCGGTCTGGGTGAAGGGAACCCTCATTTGGGGCTTAGGTCTTCTCGTCCACCTTCAGAATTACAGACATGCAAAGGGGCTAAGGTGCGCTCCAAACAGCTTGAAACATCAGGAAGCTCATACGATCAATCGCATACACTGCTGCGCTCTGCTTTTCGAGTGCGTTTGCACATCCTCCAACACACGAAAAGGGTGCAGCTGTACAGTACTAAGCATGCTGTCAGACGTGCCACAAAGAGACTCTTTGAGGGACACCGGTAATAGATCATCATGCTTCATCGTCATTACATACCCGGTCTTAACCGGCCTTGAGCCTAGCCCTTTGTCTCGTTTTTGACGACGGTGTGCCAGCAAGGACTCGAACTCGAAGCTAGAAAACAACAGCTTGCAGCTTGTGCTTACGAAGGACATGTCATGTAAAAAATCTAAATCAGGCCTCGCTTTTTCGAGTCTTGGAGCCTTTCTAAATCAATGAGGATCTCTCCGCTGGATGAGTTGTGGAATGCAGCCAGGAAGGGTGGCTTGAGGCACGACATTCCAAGAGTCAAAGTTCAATAGAACGCGACAGAATGCCGATGGTGCATTGGTTCGCAATCGCAAAGAACCGTACCCCCAACTCTAAACCTTAAACCCCAAACTCTAAACCGTTCGGTCTTTTGCACGGCCTTTTAAGAACTCTCGACCGTAGACCAGCTTCAAGTTCACGTTGACATCCCAAGCCAGCCATTCTGCTGGCTTCGTCAAAGCCTTTATTCCAAGCGACGAGCTTCTTCAAAGTCTTGTTAACCTTTTTGTTGACTTTGATAATTTCGGCGATGGCCAGATCCCACCACATCCAGGGTTGCGCCGCAAACTGATTTTCGGGAAAGCGCCCACCACCAACAGGCCTCTGAAACTCTAAACCCTAAACTCTACACCCTGAATCCTGATCTCACCACCAACAGACCTTCATAACTCTAAAAGCTAAACCCTGCACCCGGTCGATTTGTTTTTGTGCAGCTGAAGCCGTGGGCCAGGAAGTGGTGCATCAAAGTACATGCACTTCCTCATCAAGATCGCAGTGAAGAACACCGCCCGTGAGGGTGCAAAAGCTTTCACCAAAGTTATCAAGGTCAATAAGATGTTGCAGGAGCTTGATGCACGCCGAGAAAAAGCATCAGCGACATTCTCGCAGAAGGATTGAAGACTCTCATCAAGATCGCTGTGCAGCATTGCCTGTGGAAACTAGAAGCGCGAAGGTCTTCACTCAAGCCATCAAAGTCAACGAGACTTTGAGAGAGCTTGACATCTTTGTGAATCCGTTCGGTGAAGAGGCTCTTGCAGAAAGTATCGGGGATAACTGCTTCCTCATCAAGATTAACATCGCGGACTGCAGACGTGAAAAATTTAAGGTCCCTCCTAGACCTTTTCCC